CGTGGGGCGAAGGGGGAGCGGGGCTTTCGCACGCTGCTGCATTGCAGCTCGGAGCTGGGGAGCCGAGCGTGGAGGGGAGCTGGGAAGGCAGGGGATGCTGCATTGCAGGGCTGAGACGAGAAGCTGTGCGGATGGAGATGTGCCTGTGTCAAGGCGGGTGTGACACTGAAGAGCAGTGCCCGGCGCACCCGCTGATCTGCTCGTCTTTCCCTCTAATCCGTTTCTTCCACGTTTTGTTTCGCTGGAGCGTTTCTTTCATTCCGTACGCTGTTATTTGTCTTGTCCAATTGAGGCAGTAATGTATTTTTTATTAATTCAGGATATCTTTTGTTTTGGGAGACTCCACTCAAAATTTCATGGTCATACACAGACATATTTTATAGATTTGTCACTGTGATCTTTTAATCATTGTTCCATACGGCGTTGTCTTTGTATTTTAAGGTGTTCTGGCAGCAAGGGTCCTTGGATTGTTAAATAATTCTTAAATGAAGTCTGTCTTGTGAGAACCTGCCAAGCAGGGATTTGCTGCCCGGTGAAACGCAGGCGCGTCCCGCGGCGGGGACGCGTGCCCCCACCTTCGTGAACACGTGAGCATGCCAGCGCTGTAGGGAGCACAGGGTTTCCCACAACTACCTGGTGTAGGCGTTGGTGACGCTTACTCGCTCCACATCCCTCTTTGGTTTCGTGTCAGCCTTGCTGTCACTGTCCTAGAGCCCTCCTGCTCAGCAAGAGGGGAGCGCTTTGCATCCTGCCTCTGGCCAGCCTGCCAGGGTCTGACCTGAAGCATCCCCTTGAAATTGCGGAAGGAATTTGCAGCAAACCCAGGAATTAGTCTCCGAAGGTGTAAACGCAGGGCTGCTCTGTCCTGGTGTTTCCTCCCAGCTGGATCTTGCCCAGTGGCAGTGCGGGTGCGGAGGGGGTGGTGAGCTGCCCAGGAGGGACCTTCTGCAGGGGACTCAGGAGGTGACTTTCATTCAGGAACTGGAGTTGAGTGTTTCGTGCCGCGCGCTGTGGGTGCTGAAGCCTGTGGTGTGTGAGCTGGAGGGGGAAGTGTTGAAACTGCAGAGGGGAGCACCAGGGAAAGGCCGAACCGCTTTTATTTCTAGTGCCAGCCCTGCTGGTTGCCAGCCTGCGTGGTTGGAGTCTGGGGCTGCTCCGTGTCCAACCTCTGCATGTTTTGTCACGAGGTGTGACAAAGCTGGCAACCCGGTGACTGGGCAGGCTTCTTCATCAGTGCCCTTATGAAGCTCACAGTCTTGGCCAAGCCCAGTCCTTACTGGTGTCACTGGGAGCCTAGGCTGGCTACAACTGAGCTTTTGCGAAGCTTAAACCGCTGTCCCTTCTCAGTGGGACTGAAATGTCCCCAGTGCCGGCGCTGCCCCAGCCCCTGTGCTGAGCAGCCTGGCGCTCCCGATTCAGCGAGCAGCCGTGCAGCGCGTTCAAAGCTGCGACTCAGGTAGGGCTCCGTTGCTGGCTATTTATAGCTGCGTGAGCTTTCAGCACAGCCGCGGGCTGAGAATAACTCCCTGATGAGACACTGCTCACAATCACGCGTCCGTTGCCCATGCGCAGCATCGTCGTCTTCCCGCATGTCGGCGTGGGGTACGTCTTGGTCCTGTGCCAGCCTGGATCGACACGGAAAGGAGTTTACCCCAGTGTTTTTTTCTGGCCTGGGGGTTCAGCTGGTTTGTTGTGGCGCGGCTGCACGGCCCCGTTCTCAGCAGGACACTGTCAGCCTGTTGCGGGGAGCGTGGTGAGGACCCCTTCACGTGTGCGCAGTCTGAGCTCCGTAAAACCCACCCCACGGAGAGCAGCCCGTCCCTGTTGTAGTGCGGTGTGTGGGGAGATGTGGGTGCTGCGGGGAGGGATGTGCTTGGGGAAAGGAACCTGCTGTTCGGGCTGGGGCCTGCCATGTTGTAATTCATTTCTTTAACAAACCCCTCGGGCTGGAAGCGTTAGATGCAGTTGGGGTGTTTCCACTTCGCTTTATCTCTGACTTGGCATTATATTTCCAAGCTGATGCAAACAGTGGAAGAATAGATAGCGGCTAATTTGACTGCTGTGGCGCGGGAGCTCCCCGAGGTGAGCCGGGGCTGGCACGCTGCGGGCCATGCGATGGGGAGAGCGCATCCCTCCCGAGCCGATGCCTGGTGTGGAGCTGCAGGGGACACGCTGGCAGCCCCACAGGGGGGCGGTCC